AACGAAGGCAAACACGATTTGAATCGAAACTCACCCTTCTAAACAACTTCAGCCGCGTCGCGCGGCCCTCGTACAATGCAAACATCGCCACACCAATGAAAGAAAGTTATTGGAGATTGTCATAATCTCAAACTGCTGCACGGTGAAGTGCAAAACAAGACGGTAGTCATTTGGGGCACCTCGATCGGTGCGGTGCGGGGTGTAGACGGATGATGTTGTTGTTGTTCTTTTTTAATCCGCCGCCTAATCAACTTTTGTGCGAAATCGCGAGAAGCACGCGTCGCATCAGTTGTCAGCAGATTGTCAGCGTAAGGAAGTGGGCGGGGGTGAAGAAGCTGACGTTGCCGTGCAACGCATTTTCTGACGGGCTCTGAGAGCGGGGATGGCGACGAATGTGAGTAGTGGACCCGGGCCGGCGTCGGTCGCCCCCGGTGATCGGTGAACGGCCGCAGAGTTTGGGTTCTCCTCGGCCCCCGTCACCATCCGTCACTGCACATTCACTCGCTGCAGTGCGTCTGGGTCGCTGCGCCTCGCCTGCCCTCGGGCGAGCGGCCGCCGCACCGCCGGGGCCTCCGTTCCGCACCCAACAGCTCGCCACGCGGGCCGTCACGCAGGTAGGGGGTACGCACGGGGCACGGCAGTCGTGGCCGCACGCGCGTGTTTTGTTGGAGCCGCGGGGGCCTGGCGAGCCCCCCACCGCGTGTCGCCACGCCACGCCACGCCCCGCCACGCCCCGCCACGCCCCGCCACGCCCCACCGCACCACCGCCACAACAACAGGCCCGGGCGTCAGTCGGTGTTGTGTGAGCGTCCGCGAGGCACGCCGGCGCTCCGCCCCTCATCGCGTCAACTCACCTCGCCTCACCGCGCACCGCCGCGCACCGCCGCACACCATCGCCTCCAGGACACCTGCAGCGACCGGCGCGGTCCTGAGGGTGTCGCCGACCCGCACATGGCCACCGACGTGGACACGCTCTTGCACGGTGAGTCTTGGACGACGGCGACCTGCTGGAGGCACAAAAGTGAATGCGGTGATTGTGTTTTTTTGGCTGAGGACAAGAATGTGTCACAAGAGGCATAGGACCTACTGATAAAGCCAAAACGATAAAAGAAAAAGTCCGCAATTTAATGATAATTACGAAACAAACGTACTTATTCCAGCAAAGTTCATTTGCATCTCATTATATTTATTTTTTAGAATAATTCCGCCTTTTCCGTCTATAAGCTTCCGGAGGAGCTTCTGGGGCCGCTGCCCCGGCGCGCCGCCGGGCGGTGGGGACGCCATTCGGGGCACGCCGCGTGACTCACGACGGCTCGACAAATCAAAGGAAACAAAATATAATATGCTGCGGCTCGCATGGGGACCACATGGGGACTCGAACTCGTGACGATGGCGACACACCTCGCGCCCCCTTGTGCTGCTGGGCTCGGCTCGGCCCTCCGCAGGTGCTCCTCAGCTCCTCACTCGCGCGCCGCGCACGCACGCTTTGGTAGCGCGCCAGAGGAATGTTGTGTGTATTATACCGAGTTGAAAGAACTGTTGTGCTCCACCCCCCACCCCACCCCCCTCCCCCGTAAAAGCCCTTTCCACTCATCGGGACCCGCGCCCGGTCCGCCAGGGCAAATCGGCTTGGGAATAATAGCAATTGTAGCGACCCTACTCTGCCCTGCCCACCTTCTTGCTTGGTCTCCCTCCAGACGGGGAAAATTCTCATCCGTCTCCCACCCTCTCATTCCCTTCACCAGCCGGTGTCTGCTGTCAATATTACAACACTTTTGAGCCTCGCAATTTCCGGGTGGGGTGGGGGGAGTAAACGGTTATGTAGAGACGCCGTGTGTTTAAGAAGGCAAACAAGATGAACCAGTCCGCCCGGGCACAGTCGTGCTGGCGACTGGGTTACTGTGCTGTTCGTGCCCACCTCATCATCACGGCCAAGGTAACGCCCCGGGGGAGGAGGGGAGTTACTGAAAAAACATGCACTCATGCTTTGGAGTTTGGAGAGCACAATCACTGACAGAAGGGACTACCTACAAGCTTCGAATCAGCAAATTGTGCTACAACCATACATACCATGCAAATTTCGCTGGTCGTCACTTCAGTCAGACAAGCTCATCTTCATGTTTCTGAGAGTTTGGGCGCTAGGATGTTGAAGTATTGGTACACGGGGGCGTTCTGAGCCATACTTTGTATTTGGTTATGCTGTACCGAGTGGCTAATACTCCCAGTGCTGCGGGTTTGCATACCCAAGGGGCTATGGCGCCTTAGGGGCAGATCGGGTAGGCAAACCCGCAAAACTGCGGTGCATTATTGCCTTTACAGACGGTAAAGCATGCAGGCGTACGGGCGGGCGAGCTTGCCTACCCGACTCTCAACGCGCCGCCTTATGCGAGTATGCAACCCATCTGCGCGCCTCCATCCGGTACAGTATAACCAGTGCGGCTTAAAACTGCTGGTGACTTTTAGACAAAAGTACCAAAAATAAATGTTTTTCTAACCAAACAGTCGCCTTGCACGATGATCTCAAACATTTTACACAAATCGTTTTTCCGAGTGCCACGTGCCGCGGCGGCGGCGGTCCTGTCTCCGCCTCAAGCACGATCCTCCTCGCGATACGCCCCACGCTCCGGTCACCCTCCGGTCACCCAGCTCGAGCCAAAGTCCACACATACACACACCGCCTGTTCGGTTGTTCGCCCAACACGGCAAAGGTAAACACCTCTCCTCCATCTTCGCGGCGGGCTGCACCAGCCCAAACAGCACCAACACAGAGCAAGCAGAGCCGCGGCTCGTGTCGACACCGCCGAGGGGAGGGTGGGGTGGAGGGCAAGACTTGCCATGGTTACTCGCGGGGAAGACGCCGATCAGTTTGATGACCTGCTCAAGGCGCGGGCTAGGGCCGGCGCCACGCCGCGGCCCCCAGAGGAGGAGGTCGTGCTGATGATGGGCCGCACTGAGAGCAACCCCCTCCCCGCGAGTCGTGATCAAAGGGGGGCTTTCCGACGTAAACGCGAGAGAAAATAGCCGGGCCGGCTCTACCGCACTGTACGCGCTCAAGCCGAGGCGCGGCGGGGGTGCAGTGGGGTGGGGAAGGAGCCAGGGGGGC